TGTCCCCAGGTGTGTCCCCATGTCCCCCCAGGTGTGTCCCTGTCCCCCCAGGTGTCCCCAGGTGTGTCCCCAGGTGTGTCCCCATGTCCCCAGGTGTGTCCCCATGTCCCCCCAGCTGTCCCCAGGTGTGTCCCCAGGTGTGTCCCCATGTCCCCAGGTGTGTCCCCATGTCCCCCCAGGTGTGTCCCTCTCACCTGCGCAGGGCAGGGCCAGCAGCCCCCCGGGGGTCACCTGGGGACACCTCCTCAGCTCCACAGGTGTGTGTGTCCCTGTCCCCAGGTGTGTCCCCGTCCCAGGTGTGTACCTGCCGTGCCAGCCCGTAGCGCAGCAGGAAGCGCAGCCCCGGCAGGGGTTGTACCCAATCCCAGGTGTGTCCCCAGGTGTGTCCCTGTCCCCAGGTGTGTCCCCGTCCCAGGTGTGTACCTGCCGTGCCAGCCCGTAGCGCAGCAGGAAGCGCAGCCCCGGCAGCCGCGTCACCGGAACGTTCCGGAGGGTCCTGGAGCTCTCCCAGGGGGTCCCCAGGTGTGTGTGTCCCTGTCCCAGGTGTGTCCCAGGTGTGTACCTGCCGTGCCAGCCCGTAGCGCAGCAGGAAGCGCAGCCCCGGCAGCCGCGTCACCGGAACGTTCCGGAGGGTCCTGGAGCTCTCCCAGGGGAGCCGCTGCAGGTGCTGGGACAGCGACAGCGACAGTGAGGGGGACCGGCAGGAGGAGGAGGAGGAGGAGGAGGAAGGGGAGGAAAAGAAAGTGGGGAAAAGGAGGAAGAGGAGAAGGAAAAGGAGGAGGAGGAAGAGGAGGAAAGGAGGAAGAAGGAGGAGGAAAAAGGAAAAGGAGGAGGAAGAGTAGGAAGAAGAAGGAAAATGAAAAGGGAAGTGGGAGTAGGGAGAAGAGGAGGAAGAGGAGGCAAAGGAAGAGAAAATGGGGAAAAGGAGGAGGAAAAAGAGGAGGAAAAGGAGGAGGAAGAGCAGGAGGAAGAAGAAGGAAAATGAAAAGGGAAGTGGGAGTAGGGAGAAGAGGAGGAAGAGGAGGCAAACAAAGAGAAAATGGGGAAAAGGAGGGGGAAAAAGAGGAAGAAGGAGGAGGAAGATGGAAAAGGAGGAGGAGGAAGAAGGAGCAGGAAAAAGGAAAAGGAGGAGGAAGAGCAGGAGGAAGAAGCAGTCAACAGGCACTAGGGAGAGGAGGAGGAAAGGAAGAGAAAGTTGGGAAAAGGAGGAGGAGGAGGAGGAAAAGGAGGAGGAAGAAGAGGAGGAAGAAGAGGAGGAAGGAGCAGGAAAAAGGAAAAGGAGGAGGAAGAAGGAGGAGGAAGAAGAAGGAAATTGAAAAGGGAAGTGGGAGTAGGGAGGAGAGGAGGAAGAGGAGGCAAAGAAAGAGAAAAAATGGGGAAAAGGCGGAGGAGGAAAAGGAGGAAAGAGGAGGAAGAAGGAGGAGGAGAAAGGAAAAGGAGGAGGAAGAAGAAGGAAAAAGGAGGAAGAGTAGGAGGAAGAGGGAAAATGAAAAGGGAAGTGGGAGTAGGGAGAAGAGGAGGAAGAGGAGGCAAAGGAAGAGAAAGTGGGGAAAAGGGAGGGGAAAAGGAGGAAGAAAAGGAGGAGGAAGAAGAGGAGGAAGAGGAGGAGGAAGAGCAGGAGGAAGAAGAAGGAGAAAGGAAGAGGAAGAGTAGGAAGAAGAAGGAAATTGAAAAGGGAAGTGGGAGTAGGGAGGAGGAAGAGGAGGCAAAGGAAGAGAAAGTGGGGAAAAGGAAGAGGAAATGAGGAAGGGAGGTGGGGATGAAGGCCGGCTCTCACCCTGTCCAGCAGCAGCACCAGGGACCCCGCGCTGCCCCCGGGGCCCTCCCGGCGCCGCTCCAGGGCCTCGTCCAGCAGCAGCCGCGCCCGCAGCGGCCGGGCCGGACACAGCGCTGCGGCCAGCGGCCGGACATCGGCCGGACACAGCGCCGACAGCAGCACCTGGGAGGGAGAGGGACAGCTCCAGGGAAATTCCCAAAATCCGGGATGGGAACCCCAAAATCTGGGAGCAGCTGGACACAGGGGACACTGACAGCAGCACCTGGGGAGGGAGAGACAGCTCCATGGGAATTCCCAAATTCCAGGGGCAAAACCCCAAAATCTGGGACCAACAACCCAAAATGTGGGGCAGAACACAAAACGTGGGGTTAACACCCTAAATTCCAGGGGTAAAGTCCCAAATCCCCAGGATCACCCCCCCCCCCCCCCCCCAAATCCCAGGATCAGCACCCCAAATCCAGGGATCGGCCCCTCCAAATTCCGGGATCATCACCCACAACTTCAGGGATGAAAACCCCAAAAATCCTGGGATCATCCTCCCGAAATCCAGGGATCAGTACCCCCAAATCAAAGGGTCACCACCCCAAACCCCAAATCCCAAACCCCAATCCCATACCCGGAGCAGGGCGGGCTCGGGCCGGTCCCAGCCGCATTCCCGGAGCTCCTGGAGCAGCTGGGACAATTCCTGCTCATCCAGGGGGGAATTCCCGGGATCCCGGGGCAGCAGCAGCCCCCGCCAGCACCCCAAAACCTCCGAGTCCAGGTTCTGGATCAGGTTCTGGGGAAAGACACAGAAAATGGGAATGGGATCCTGACCCCAAAAACTCTGGGAATGCCACGGGAAATCCCACAGGAATCCCTAAAGGAATGACAGGGGGAATCCTGAAGGGAATCCCAGGAAAAAACCCAAAAGGAATCCCAGGGTGGGTTATGGGGTGAGTCAGGCCTCATTCCCAGGGTTCTTCCCAATATTTGGGGGTTTGGGAAAGTGGGAATCCCAGGGAAAATCCCAAAAGGGAATCCTACAGGAAGTGCCAGGGAGGGTTATGGGGTCACATTCCCAAGGGTTTTCCTGATAATTTGGGTGTTTGGGAAATTTCAGGAATCCCAGGGAAATCCCAGAGGAATCTCAGGGAAAATCCCACAGGAATCCCAGGGAAATCTCACAGGAATCCCAAGGAAATCCCACAAGGAATCCCAAGGAAATCCCACAAGGAATCCCAAGGAAAGCCCACAAGAAATCCCAAGGAAAGCCCCCCTTCAGTCCCAGGAAAATCCCATGGAATCTCATGGGGATTTCCAGGGAATCCCAGGGAAAATGTCACAGGAATCCCAAGGAAATCCCCCCTTCAGTCCCAGGAAAATCCCACGGAATCTCATGGGGATTTCCAGGGAATCCCAGGGAAAATGTCACAGGAATCCCAAGGAAATCCCCCCTTCAGTCCCAGGAAAATCCCACGGAATCTCATGGGGATTTCCAGGGAATCCCAGGGAAAATGTCACAGGAATCCCAAGGAAATCCCCCCTTCAGTCCCAGGAAAATCCCACGGAATCTCATGGGGATTTCCAGGGAATCCCAGGGAAAATCCCATCAGGAATCCCAGGGGGCCTCTCCCGGGAACCCCAGGGGGTTTTGGGGTGCTGCCGGCCCCGCTGCCGAGGGTTTTTCCCGGTTTTTGGGGTCCCTGTCCCACCTGCATGCGCAGGTCCAGGCGGGATCGCCGCTCCCACCACGCGTGGCGCTCGGTGCAGGCGTTGGCCTCGCGCTGCTCCCGCTGGATCCGCTCAAACTCCTGGAGAATCCCACTCAGGGGGGCCTGGGGAGGGACAGGAGGGGCCTGGGATCCCAATCCCCGGAATGGGGGTGGGTTTGGGATCCCGACCCTTGGAATTGCAGGTGTCCCCATCCCAGGAAAAGGAGGAAAAGGAGGAAGAGGAGGGTGAGGAAGAAAAGGATGGAGGCAGGATTCCATCCCTGGAATGGTCAGTGCCCAACGCTCCAGGAGAAGGATGAAGATGAGGAGGATGAGGAGGAGGATGATAAAGATGAGGAGCAGCATAAGGATGAAGATGGAAAGGAGGAGGATGAGGATGAAGATGAGGAGCAGGATGAAGATGAGGAGGTGGAGAAGGAGGATGAGGATGAGGATGAAGATGAGAACGAAGATGAGGATAAGGATGAAGACGAGGATAAGGATGAGGAAAAGGATGAGGATGAAGAGGAGGATGAGGATGAGGATGAGGAGGAAGAGGAAGATGAGGAGGAGGAGAAGGAGGATGAGGATAAGGATGAGGATGAAGATGAGAATGAAGATGAGGATAAGGATGAAGACGAGGATAAGGATGAGGAAAAGGATGAGGATGAAGATGAGGATAAGGATGAGGATGAAGAGGAAAAGGAGGAGGATAAGGATGACGATGAAGATGAGGATGAGAAGAAGGATGAGAATGAAGATGAGTATGAAGATGAGGATAAGGATGAAGATGAAGACAAGGAAGAGGATAAGGATGAGGATAAAGATGAGGATGAAGATGAGGACAAAAATGAAAATAAGAACAAAGATGAGGATAAGGAAGAAGATGAGGAGGAAGAGGATGAAGAGCAGGATAAAGATGAGGAGGAGAAGGAGGATGAGGATGAAGATAGGAATGAACATGAGGACAAAGATGAAGATGAGGATAAGGATGAAGATGAGGATAAGGAAGGATGAAGATGAGGATGAGAAGGAGGATGAGGATGAAGATGAGGAGCAGGATGAAGATGGGGATGAGAAGGAGGATGAGGATAAGGATGAGGATGAAGGTGAGAATGAAGATGAGGATAAGGATGAAGATGAAGATAAGGAAGAGGAAAAGGATGAGGATGAAGATGAGGATAAAGGTGAGGAGGAGAAGAAGGAGGATAAAGATGAGGATGAAGATGAGGAAGAAGATGAGGACAAAAATGAAGATAAGAACAAAGACGAGGATAAGGAAGAAGATGAGGAGGAAGAGGATGAAGATGAGGAGCAGGATGAAGATGAGGAGGAGAAGAAGGAGGATGAGGATGAAGATAGGAATGAAGATGAGGACAAAGATGAAGATGAGGATAAGGATGAAGATGAGGATAAGAAGAAGGAAAAGGATGGGAATGAAGATGAGGATAAGAATGAGGATGAAGATGAGGATAAGGATGACAATGAAGAGGAGGATGAGGATGAAGAGGAGGATGAGGATGAAGAGGAGGATGAGGATGAAGAGGAGGATGAGGATGAAGATGAGAATGAAGATGAGGACAAAAATGAAGACGAGGATAAGGACGAAGACAAGGAAGAGGATAAGGATGAGGATAAAGATGAGGATGAAGATGAGGACAAAAATGAAAATAAGAACAAAGATGAGGATAAGGAAGAAGATGAGGAGGAAGAGGATGAAGAGCAGGATAAAGATGAGGAGGAGAAGGAGGATGAGGATGAAGATAGGAATGAACATGAGGACAAAGATGAAGATGAGGATAAGGATGAAGATGAGGATAAGGAAGAAGACGAGGATAAGAAGAAGGAAAAGGATGAGAATGAAGATGAGGATAAGAATGAGGATGAAGATGAGGATAAGGATGACAACGAAGAGGAGGATGAGGATGAAGAGGAGGATGAGGATGAAAATGAGAATGAAGATGAGGACAAAAATGAAGATGAGGATAAGGATGAAGACGAGGATAAGGAAGATGAGGGTAAGGATGAGGATGAAGATGAAGATAAGAATAAGGATGAAGAGGAGGATAAGGATGATGATGAAGAGGAGGATGAGGATAAGAATGAAGATGAGGACAAAAATGAAGTGAGGATAAGGATGAAGACAAGGATAAGGAAGAAGATGAGGATAAGGATGAGGATAAGGATGAAGATGAAGACGAGGATAAGGATGAGGATGAAGAGGAGGATGAGGATTAGGATGAAGAGGAGGATGAGGATGAAGATGAGAATGAAGATGAGGACAAAAATGAAGTGAGAATAAGGACGAAGACGAGGATAAGGAAGAAGATGAGGATGAGGATAAGGATGATGATGAAGGTGAGGATAAGCATGAGGATGAGGATGAGGATGAGGATAAGGATCAGGATGAAGACAAGGATAAGCATGAGGATGAAGATGAGGATAAGGATGATGATGAAGGCGAGGATAAGCATGAGGATGAAGGCGAGGCTAAGCACGATGATGAAGAGGAGGATGAGGAGGAGGAAGGCGGCCCCGCTGACCTGGCAGCGCTCGGTGGCGATGCGCACGCTGACGGGCTCCGCGCCGCGCTCCAGCCGCGTCAGCAGCAGCGTGTCCCCGAGGGCCCCGGGGGTGGCACTGACCAGGGACAGCTGGCACACGGTGACACCTGAGGGGACACCCCAAATCTGGGACCTCACCTGGAATCCCACCCCACGGAACCCCCAAAATCTCAAAGCTCCCCAGACCTGAATTCCAACCATTCCCAACCCATCTGAGGCCACCAAACACCCAAACTGGGAATTGGGGATTTCATCCCCAAACTGGGAATTGGGGATTTCCCAATCCCCACACTGGGAATTTGGGATTTCCCAATCCCCCCACTGGGAATTTGGGATTTCCCAATCCCCACACTGGGAATTTGGGATTTCCCAATCCCCCCACTGGGAATTTGGGCTTTCCCAATCCCCAGACTGGGAATTTGGGCTTTCCCAAACCCCCCACTGGGAATTTGGGATTTCCCAACCCCCACACTGGGAATTTGGGCATTCCCAATTCCCACACTGGGAATTTGGGATTTCCCAATCCCCACTGGGAATTTGGGCTTTCCCAATCCCCCCACTGGGAATTTGGGATTTCCCAATCCCCACACTGGGAATTTGGGATTTCCCAATCCCCACACTGGGAATTTGGGATTTCCCAGTCCCCACACTGGGAATTCAGGCTTTCCCAAACCCCCCATTGGGAATTTGGGATTTCCCAATCCCCACACTGGGAATTTGGGATTTCCCAGTCCCCAAACTGGGAATTTGGGATTTCCCAACCCCCACACTGGGAATTTGGGATTTCCCAGTCCCCACACTGAAAATTTGGGATTTCTCAATCCCCACACTGGGAATTTGGGATTTCCCAATCCCCACTGGGAATTTGGGCTTTCCCAACCCCCCCACTGGGAATTTGGGATTTCCCAATCCCCACACTGGGAATTTGGGATTTCCCAGTCCCCAAACTGGGAATCTGGGATCTCCCAGCCCGGAATCCCAGCACTGACCGCTGGGAATCTTCTGGAGCTGCTCCCGGAACCGCTCCCGCTCCGCCGGCCCCACACCCGTGGAGCTGAACTGGAAAAGCTCCTCGAGCTCGGCCAGGTGGGACTGGGAATCCTGGGAATTTTGGGAATTCTGGGAATCCTGGGAATTCAGGGAGAGGCCCCGGAGCTGATCCGAGATGTCCCCTCTGGCTGCTGCTGCTGCTTTCCTCTTCTTCCTGCGGGGTCATCCCAAAATCCCTTGGGATGGGGCCAGGATGGGATTTGGGGATGGAGGGAAGGGATATGGGATGTGGGATAGGGATATGGGATGGGGATATGGGATGGGGATATGGGAGGGGGATGTGGGATATGGGATGGGGATGTGGGATATGGGGTGGGGATATGGGATGTGGGATATGGGATATGGGATATGGAATGTGGGATGGGGATGTGGGGTATAGGATATGGGATGTGGGATGGGGATATGGGATGGGGATATGGGAGGGGGATGTGGGATATGGGATGGGGATGTGGGATATGGGGTGGGGATATGGGATGTGGGATATGGGATATGGGATATGGAATGTGGGATGGGGATGTGGGGTATAGGATATGGGATGTGGGATGGGGATATGGGATGGGGATATGGGAGGGGGATGTGGGATATGGGATGTGGGGTATGGGATGTGGGATATGGGATAGAGATATGGGATATGGGATATGGAATGTGGGATGGGGATGTGGGATATGGGATGGGGATGTGGGATGGGGATGTGGGGTATGGGATGGGGATATTGGATAGGGATGTGGGATGGGGATGGGATGGGGATGTGGGATATGGGATGAGTCCCTTCCCCAAGGGGGAATCCCCAGTGGGGACACTGGGGAGGGGGACATTGGGTGGGATCCGATGCCCTGGGGATGAAGGGAGGGGACACTGGAAGGGGACATTGGAATGGGACAGGGACATTGGGAAGGGATGGGGACACTGGAACGGGACATTGGATGGGGATATTGGACAGGGCCACTGGGAAGGGATGGGGACACTGGACAGGGACACTGGGGAAGGGACAGGGACACTGGACAGGGACACTGGACAGGGATGAGGCCACTGGGAAGGGACAGGGACACTGGACAGGGACACTGGACAGGGATGAGGCCACTGGATGGGGCTGGGGACACTGGACATGGACACTGGACAGGGACACTGGGGAAGGGACAGGGACACTGGACAGGGACACTGGACAGGGATGAGGCCACTGGATGGGGATGGGGACACTGGACAGGGACACCGGACAGGGACACTGGACAGGGATGAGGCCACTGGATGGGGCTGGGGACACTGGACAGGGCCACTGGGAAGGGACAGGGACACTGGACAGGGACACTGGACAGGGATGAGGCCACTGGATGGGGATGGGGACACTGGACAGGGACACCGGACAGGGACACTGGACAGGGATGAGGCCACTGGGAAGGGACAGGGACACTGGACAGGGACACTGGACAGGGATGAGGCCACTGGATGGGGCTGGGGACACTGGACAGGGCCACTGGGAAGGGGACAGAGGACAGAGACTGGAAGGTGCCACCCGTGACCCACCGTGCCCTGGCGTGGACGATGGCCAGCAGCTGGTGGCGCATGGTGACACTCAGGGACTCTGCCAGCAGCCCCGCGGTGGCCAGCGGGTCCCTGTCCCCGAGGGCCATGGCCAGCAGCTGGCACAGCTGGCCATAGAGAGAGCCCGGCGGGAAGTGACCGACCCACGCCAGCGCCTCGGCCAGCAGGGACCGGACAGCGGCCAGAGAGGGGTCACCTGGGGGGACACAGGGGACAGAGAGGGGTCACCTGGGGGGACAGGACAGAGAGGGGTCACCTGGGGGGACACAGGGGACAGGACAGAGAGGGGTCACCTGGGGGGACAGAGAGGGGTCACCTGGGGGGACAGGGGGGACAGAGAGGGGTCACCTGGGGGGACAGAGGACAGTGGGGACAATGGTCACTGAGGCAGAGGGGACAGGAGGGGTCAGGACAGGAGGGACAAAGTTTGGGGGCAAAAAAGGAAAGTTTGGGGAAAGGAAAAGTTTGGGAGGAAAAGTTTTGAGGAAGAAAAGAAAATTTAGGGAAAGGAGGAAAAATTTGGGGAAGGGAAAAGTTCAGGAGAGGAAACTCCTGAGAAAAAGAAGGAAAATTCCTGGAAAAGGAAAGAAAACCCCTGGAGAAGTCAGGCCATGCCCAGCTGAGCCCCAAAATCCCCAAACCACCCCAAAATTCCCCAAATCCTCCAAATTCCAGGTGCTCACCGGGCTGGGCAGAGGGGCAGGATCCCTCTGGATTTGGGGGATCCCCCTTGTCCCCAATTCCTGGGATTTCCTTGCTGGCCCCACCTGGAAAAGAAGGGGCAGTTTTGGGGTCAAAAAAGGCAATTTTGGGGTCACCAAGATGAAACCCCCCCCCCAAAATCCCCCAAACTCACCTGGGGACAGCGGGGGGAGCTCGAAGCTCATCTCCTCCTCCTCCTCCTCTTCCTCCTCCACGGCCCTCAGGGGGTCCCGCTCCTCAATCCCAGAAAATTCCCAGTTCCTCTTTTCCTCCAAAATTCCACTTTGGGGGGTCCCCCTCTCCTTCTTTCCCCGAGGACCCCCAGCCCGGCGGGGACCCCTGTTCTCCTTCTTCTCCAGAGATTTTTGGGATTTTCCCTTTTCCTTCTTTTCTACATTTTCCATGTTGTCATTTTTCGTATTTTCCACTTTGGGATTTCCCCTTTTCCCCACGTTTTCCATTTTGGGATTTCCCATTTTTTCCACATTTTCCACTTCGGGATTTCCCCTTTTTCCCACGTTTTCCATTTTGGGCTTTCCCATTTTTTCCACATTTTCCACTTTGGGATTTCCCCTTTTCCCCACGTTTTCCATTTTGGGATTTCCCATTTTTTCCACATTTTCCACTTCGGGATTTCCCCTTTTTCCCACGTTTTCCATTTTGGGCTTTCCCATTTTTTCCACATTTTCCACTTTGGGATTTCCCCTTCTTTCCCTCTTTTCCAGAGCTGTTTGGGGGATGCTGTTTTCCTTCTTTTCCAGATTTTCCACGTGGTTGATCCCCCTTTTTTCCCTCTTTTTGGGGGTCCCCAGCTCCTTCCGGGGCCGCCCCCGCCGGGGCCGAGCTCCAATTCCTGGAGAATTCCTGGGGGATTTTTGGGGCTGAACCCTCCTCTTGGCACAGGAAGTTTTTTGGGTGGTTTTGGGGGGATCTGGGGGAATTTGGGGCTCCTCAGAGTCGCTGTCACTGAATGTCACCTGAAAAAGGGGGGGAACAAAGGGGTTCAGCCCAAAATTTTCATCCCAAAATTTTTCCTCACCCTCCCAAAGTTTTCCACGTGAAGTTTCCCCCAACCCCACCCAATTTTCCCACTAAAATTTTCCTTTCTTTCCCAAAATTTCCTGTCCCCAAAACGTTCCCCCACAAACTTTTTCTGCCCCCCCAAAATTTTCCTCCCCTCCCCAAAGATTTCCCTTCCCCCTCCAATAATTTCCCCACAAAATTTTCCTTCCCCAAATTCCCCCCATTCCTCCCCAAATTTCCCTTCCCAAACTTTCCCCCAAAAATTTTCCCTCCCCAAACTTTGCCTCCTCCTGATTTCTCCTCCAGATTTCCTTCCCCAAATTTCCCTTCCCAAACTTTTCCCCCCAAAATTTTCCCTCCCCAGACTTTTCCTCCTCCCGATTTCCCCCCCAAAATTTCCCTTCCCAAACTTTTCCCCCCAAAATTTTCCCTCCCCAAACTCCCCCCAAGCCCAAACTCACCCTGATCCGGGACTTGACCCTTCCTGGGATTTTGGGGGCCCTGCGGAGCCGGGAGCTGCCCCCGGGTGGGGAGGGCTCCTCGCTGAAGATGGTGAAGGGGGTCCTGGGCCCCCCCAGCAGCGCTTTTGGGGGCACCCCCGATTTGGGGTGGGGGGTGCAAGGCCCCCCCGGCCGCAGGACAATGGGGGGGACCTCGGGGTCTGAGTCCCCCAGGGTGAAAACGTCCCCGGATTTGGGGGGCTTCACTTTTGGGGTCTTCCCCACCTTGGCTTTGGGGGCTTTGGCTTTTTGGGGTCCGGTTTTGGGGGGAGCTTTGGGGGTTTTTTGGGGTTTTGAGGGGTTTGGGGTCTGGGGTGGGGGACAGGGGGTCCAGGCCTGGGCCAGGACGTCATCCATGGAGCGGCCGAGGGCGGTGGCCACGCGGCCGAGGGTGGCCACGGCTTTGGCCAGCAGCAGAGTGGCCACTGCCACCCCCAGGCCGGCCACGGGGGGACTCTGGGACCCCAAGAGGGTCAATCCCTGCTCCAGATCCTCATCCCAAACTGGGGGGCACTGGGATGGACTGGCCAGGCTCTGCAGGGCCAGCGTGGAGTAGCCAGTGGCCACCAGCTCAGCCAGCGGGCCCGGGGTGCTGTCCCCAAGAGGGTCCCTGTCCCCAAAAGGGTCCCCAACCCCAGGAGGGTCCCCAGCCCCGATGATGTCCCCATTCCCAGAGGGATCCCTGCCCCTGGAGTGATTCCACAGGTCCCTGTCCCCAAGGGTGTCCCCATTCCTGGAGAGTTCCTGCAGACTCCTGTCCCCGAGGGTGTCCCTGCTCCTAGAGGGGTCCCTGTCCCTGATGGTGTCCCCGTTCCCAGAGGGGTCCTGCACACTCCTGTCCCCATTCCTGCTGATGTTCCCATTCCCAGAGGGGTCTGACAGATTCCTGTCCCCACCCCTGACAATGTCCCCATTCCCAGAGGGGTCTGACAGACTCCTGTCCCCACCCCTGACAATGTCCCCATTCCCAGAGGGGTCCTGCACACTCCTGTCCCCATCCCTGCTGATGTCCCCATTCCCAGAGGGGTCCTGCACACTCCTGTCCCCACCCCTGACAATGTCCCCATTCCCAGAGGGGTCTGACAGATTCCTGTCCCCATCCCCACTGATGTCCCCATCCCCAGGAATTCCCTTATCCTTGACAATGTCCCCATTCCCGGGAATTCCCTCATCCCTGCTGATGTCCCCATTCCCAGGAGCTCCCCTATCCCTGCCCGTGTCCCCATTGCCAGAGGGGCCCTGCAGGCTCCTGTCCCCACTCCCCCCAGCCCTCCTGATGCCCCCAGACCCCGCGCCCTGGACCCTGCCCCACAGCTCCCGTGCCAGGCGGGTGCCGGCGCTGCCACAGCGTGCCAGCACCCCCCTGAGCAGGGCCAGCCCCGCTGCCACCTCCCCGGCCAGCAGCCACGCCCGGGCCTGGGCCAGGAGCCAGCGCAGCCCCAGGGCCACCAGGGCAGGGTCACAGCAGAAGGAGCAGGGACATCCCGAGGGGTGGGACAGGAATTCCAGACTTTTCCAGGCTTTTCTTCCCTTCAGCTCCGGCGAGGCCGTGAGAGCGTCCGGCTGCTCCGGGAGCGCGGCCGGAGCCATGGCGTCCAGGGAGGGACCCTTGAGGAATTCCTCGTCCTCCTCCCCACCAGGAATGGGGTCAGGAGTGGGATCCAGAGGTTTCCTCCTCTCCAGGTGGCCTTTCTGGAGCTGGATCTTGGCCAGGCGTTGCCGAGGCTCCCAGCAGGGTTTGGGTTCTGGAATGGGAATTCAGGGAGGATTTGGGATTTGGAGTCTTGTAGGGAGTGATTCCCAGCTGGGTTTGAGCTCTGGAGGGGAGGGAAGGGATGTTTGGGGTTCTCTTCCCAAAGGGATTTAACCCTGGAGGGGATGGAAGGGATGTTTGGGGTTCTCTTCCCAGTTGGATTTAACCCTGGAGGGGATGGAAGGGATGTTTGGGGTTCTCTTCCCAGTGGGATTTAACTCTGGATGGGATGGATGTGATAATTTGGGATTTTCCAGCACAAAGAAGGGTCCAAAAATTTGGGTCCTGTCCGAGCTTGATCATTCCTCCAGCCCCAAACTGGGATCACTGGGATTTCCCCCATTCCCACACTGGGATCACTGGGATTTCCCCCATTCCCACACTGGGATCACTGGGATTTCCCCCATTCCCACGCTGGGATCACTGGGATTTCCCCCATTCCCACACTGGGATCTCTGGGATTTCCCCCATTCCCACACTGGGATCACTGGGATTTCCCCCATTCCCACACTGGGATTTCCCCCATTCCCACACTGGGATCACTGGGATTTCCCCCATTCCCAGGCTGGGATCTCTGGGATTTCCCCATCCCAGTGCTCACCAGTCTGTGGCTGGAGCAGGAACTGGGCGTGCTGGAGGTGGGACTGGCTCAGCTCCAGCTCCCCCTGCTGCAGCTCCAGCTGGGACTGCAGCACCAGGAACCACGTGCACCTGCAGGAAAACGGGGAAAAAATGGGGAAAACAGGGAAAAACGGGGGGAAAAGACCCCTCAGAGCCCACCAGAGCTGGGAGGGAGGTGGGAACGAGCTGCTGAGCCACCATTCCTAAAGGATCCCAATCCCAGTGACCCCAGTGATGCCATTCCCAACCCCAGTGATGGCAATGACCCTAATGACCCCAAATTCACTCCCAATGACCCCAAATCCAATCCCCATGACCCCAAATCCAATCCCAATGACCCCAAATCCATCCCCTCCAATCTCAATGACCCCAAACCCATCCCCCATGACCCCAAACCCATCCCCATGACCCCAGTCCCATCACTGACCAGCGGGCGGCCTGCAGGTGTCCGGCCACGGTCAGTCCCTCGCTGCAGAAGGCCCTGGCCTGGCACAGGACCTCGCAGTGGCCCAGCAGTGTCACCAGGCGCTGGCAGCAGCCCAGGGTGTCCCCCAGCACCTGCCACTTGTGCACCAGCGCTGGGCCTGGGGACAGTGGGATGGCACTGGGAATACTGGGAGAGCCGTGGGGTGGGGAGGGGTCCCAGGGAGATGGAGCCGTCCCCAGGGGAGATTGGATGGGGAGGATTCCCAGGGAGATGGAGCTGTTCCCAAGGCTCCTGGACCTTCCCATGGAGTTCAGTTCATTCCAAGAGATCCCAACCTTTCCTGAGGGACCCCCAACCCATTCCAGAGGCTCCCAGCCCATCCCATCCCATTCCAGAGGGACCCCATTCCATTCCACAGGCTCCCAGGGACCCCAATTCCACCTCAGGGACCCCAAACCCATCCCACCCCACTCCATCCCAGGGACTCTAATCCCATCCCAGGGAACCCAAACCCATTGCATCCCATCTCATCCCACTTCATGGACCCTGATCCCACCCCAGTGACCCCAATCCCACCCCAGTGACCCCAAACCTGTCCCAGGGACCCTGATCCCATCCCAATGACCCCACCCCATCCCAGTGACCCCAAATCCCATCCCAGTGACCCCGATCTTGTCCCAGGGACCCTGATTCCATCCCAATGACCCCCATCCCACCCCAGTGACCCCACCCCAGGGCCCCCAGCCCCTGTCCCACCGCTGACCGCAGTCGGGGCCGGGCTCCTCGGGCGGGCGGCTCCGGGCGCTGCCCAGGACGTCGCTGCCCACCAGGAACACCAGGATGCTCCTCAGCAGCTTCTGCGCCTCCAGCAAGGCCACCTTGGGGCTGCTCCAGCCTGGAATTCCAGGGGATCAGCACAGGGGATCCCCAGCCCTTCCTCCTCCTCCTCCTCCTCACAGCAAAGCTCCCCCGAATCCTGGCTCACCCCATCTCTTCCTCCTCATCCCAAATCCCTTCTTCCTTCTCCTCTCCAAACTCCCTCCTTCTCCTTCTCCTTCTTCTCCTCCCAAACTCTATCTCTTCCTCCTCCTCATCCCCAAAACTCCTCTGTGCTTCTCTTCATCCCTAAATTCCCTTCCTCTTCTTCCTCCATCCCATAACTCCCTCACTCTTCCTCCTCCTCATCCTCACCTGTCCCACCGCTGACCGCAGTCGGGGCCGGGCTCCTCGGGCGGGCGGCTCCGGGCGCTGCCCAGGACGTCGCTGCCCACCAGGAACACCAGGATGCTCCTCAGTAGCTTCTGCGCCTCCAGCAGGGCCACCTTGGGGCTGCTCCAGCCTGGAATTCCAGGGGATCAGCACAGGGGATCCCCAGCCCTTCCTCCTCCTCCTCCTCACAGCAAAGTTCCCCCGAGTCCTGACTCACCCCATCTCTTCTTCCTCATCCCAAATCCCTTCTTCCTTCTCCTCTCCAAACTCCCTCCTTCTCCCAAACTCTATCTCTTCCTCCTCCTCATCCCCAAAACTCCTCTGTGCTTCTCTTCATCCCTAAATTCCCTTCCTCTTCTTCCTCCATCCCATAACTCCCTCACTCTTCCTCCTCCTCATCAAAACCCCTCCCCTCCTCCTCCTCATCCCAAACTCTTTCTCTCTTCCTCCTCCTCATCCCTAAACTCTCCCCTTCTTCCTCCTCATCCTAAAACTCTCTCCTTCCCTGAAGTTCCCAGACTGGAGTCTGGGAGTTCCCAAACTCCCTCCTCATCCCTGAACTTCCTCCCTCTTTCTCATCCCAAATTCTTTCCCTCTTCCTCCTCCTCCTCCTCCCAAATCCCCCCTTCCTCCTTCTCACCCCAAAACCTCTCCCTCTGTCCATCCCAAATTCCCTCCTCACCCCAAACTCTCTCCCCTCTTTCTCCTCACCCCAAACTCTCTCCCTCTTTCTCCTCATCCCAAACTCTCTCCCTCTTCCTCCTCACCCCAAACTCTCTCCCTCTTCCTCCTCACCCCAAACCCCTCCCTTGGGATGGATTTTTCCCTCCCAAATTCCCTTTTCCCACCGTGCTGCCGGATCTGCTCCCGGAGCGGCGCCTCCAGGTGGGCCGGGGGCAGCTCCAGGATCGTGGCCACCAGCTGCAGCCTCTGGGCCTGTGCCAGGTACCAGCCCCTGGTGGCCCTCTGGGCCCACGGGTCCCTCAGGGCCTCCAGCAGCAGGGCCACGCCCTGATCCACCTGGAAAAAGGGGGAAAAACGGGGAAAAATGGGATTTGGGATCATGGGGGGTGATCCCAACCTGTAATCTCAGTCCTTTTATCCCGTTCCCCCATCCCAATCCCCTTCCAGCAGCAGGGCCACACCCTGATCCGCCTGGGAAAATGGGATTTGGGATCATGGGGGGTGATCCCATCCCAATTCCATGCATCCCAGTCCTTTTATCCCATCCCAATCCCAATCCTTTTATGCCATCCCAATCCCAATCCTTTTATCCCATCCCAATCCCCTTCCAGCAGCAGGGCCACACCCTGATCCGCCTGGAAAAATGGGAAAAAATGGGATTTGGGATCATGGGGGTGATCCAATCCCAATCCCATAATTCCAGTCCTTTTATTCCATCCCAATCCCATAATTCCAGTCCTTTTATTCCATCCTAATCCCAAATCCTTTTATCCCATCCCAATTCCACCCACCCCAGTCCTTTATCCCATCCCAATCCCATTATCCCAGTGATGTCATCCCATCCCAGCCCTTTTATCCCATTCCCAATCCTTTTATCCCATCCCAATTCCCCCCACCCCAGTCCTTTATCCCATCGGAATCCCATTATCCCAGTGAGGTCATCCCATCCCAGCCCTTTTATCCCATTCCCAATCCTTTTATCCCATCCCATCCCAATTCTTTTATCCCATCCAAACCCCAATCCTTTTATACCATCTCAATTCCATAGCATTCCCAATCCTTTTACCCCATCCCAATCCCCTTCCAGCAGCAGGACCACGCCCTGCTCCACCTGGAAAAACCAGGATTTAGGATCACCCCATCCCACAACCCCTTACCCCAAATCCCCCACACCCAAAATTCCCTATTTTTTTTTTTAGGAAAATCCCCGGTTTTGCCTTTTTCTGGAGGCAGCAGAGGCGGCTGCGCAGCAGGAGCCGGGAATGGCGCAGGAGCAGCCGGGAATCCTCGCTGCCCTCGTCCTCCTCCAGGCACAATTCCAGCTCCTCCAGGAAAACCTGGGAATGCCACGCCTGGATCAGCACCAGCACCTCCAAACCCTACCCTAGGAGGGGGGATTTTCCCAGGATTTTTGGGATTTTATCAGGATTTTTGGGATTTTGGGACACCCACAGTTCCCAGGGTGCCCCAAACCCACTGAAATCCTTTTCCTGGGATTTTTCAGGATTCCTGGAGTTGAGTTCCCTGGTTCCAAGCCCTTCCTGGGGGAGATTTTCCTGGGATTTTGGGAATCCCGGAATTCCCCAATTCTGAGGGTTATTCCCAGATTGTTCTGAGGGTTTTGGAAGGACATTTCCAAATAATTTCCCTGGATTTTGCAAGGACATTGCCAGATTTCCCTGGGACTGGGAAGGACATTCCCAGATTTCCCTGGATTTTCCTGGATTGGGAAGGACATTCCCAGATTTTCCTGGAATTTGGAAGGACATTCCCAGATTTCCCTGGGTTTGGGAAGGACATTCCCAGATTTCCCTGGATTTGGGAAGGACATTCCCCGGATTTGGAAGGACATTCCCAGATTTCCCTGGCTTTGGGAAGGACATTCCCAGATTTTCCTGGGTTTGGGAAGGACATTCCCTGGATCTCCCTGGGTTTAGGAAGGACGTTCCCAGATCTCCCTGGATTTGGGAAGGACATTCCCTGGATTTGGAAGGACATTCCCTGGATCTCCCTGGGTTTGGGAAGGACATTCCCTGGATCTCCCTGGCTTTGGGAAGGACATTCCCTGGCTTTGGGAAGGACATTCCCAGATCTCCCTGGCTTTGGGAAGGACATTCCCGGATCTCCCGGGTGTACCTGGGCCTGGGCAGGGCAGTCCAGCCGCAGCAGGATCCGGGTGAGCTGGCACAGGGCAGTGGCCGTTCCCAAACGATCCCCGAGCCTCCGGCACAGCGAGCGCAGCAGCAGGAAACTCTCCAGGGCTTGGATGGGCTGGGAAGGGGAAAACCCTTGGATAAACCCCAAGAGCACTCCAGGGATCCTGGCAAAAGCTCTCCCTGCTCTTCCTCATCCCAAATTCCCCCTTCCTCCTCCTCATCCCCAAAATGTCTCATTCCTTCTTCTCCTCTTCATCCCAAATTCTCTTCCTCTTCGTCCTCAAAAACTTTTTCATTTTTCCTCCTCATCCCGAATTCTCTCCCTCCTTTTAATCCCAAACTCCCTCCCTTTTCCTCCTCATCCCAAACTCTCTCCTTCCTCTTCATCCCAAATTCCTTCTCTCTTTATCCCAAACTCTTTCCCTCTTCCTCTTCATCCTCCCCAACTTTTTCCCTCTCCTTCCTCATCCCAAACTCTCTCCTGTTTATCATCCCAAACTCTCTCCTCTTCATCCTCCCAAACTCTCCCTCTTCTTCCCAAATTCCATCACTCTTCCTCATCCCAAACTCTCCTCTTCATCATCTCAAACCTTTTCCCTCTCCCTCCTCATCCCAAACTCTCTCCCTCCTCTTCATCCTAAACTCCCTCCCTCTTCCTCCTCATCCCAAACTCTCTCTTGTTTATCATCCCAAACTCTCCTCCTCATCATCCCAAACCTTTTCCCTCTCCTTCCCAAATTCCCTCACTCTTCCTCATCCCAAACTCTCCTCCTCATCATCCCAAACCTTTTCCCTCTCCCTCCTCATCCCAAACTCTCTCCCTCCTCTTCATCCTAAACTCCCTCCCTCTTCCTCCTCATCCCAAACTCTCTCTTGTTTATCATCCCAAACTCTCCTCCTCATCATCCCAAACCTTTTCCCTCTCCTTCCCAAATTCCCTCACTCTTCCTCATCCCAAACTCTCCTCCTCATCATCCCAAACCTTTTCCCTCTCCCTCCTCATCCCAAACTCTCTCCCTCCTCTTCATCCTAAACTCCCTCCCTCTTCCTCCTCATCCCAAACTCTCTCCTCTTCCTCCTCATCCCAAAACTCTCTCCCCTCCTCTCCCACATCCCCAAACTCTTTCCCTCCCTCCTCTTTGTCCCAAATTCCCTCCTCCTTCATTCCAAACTCTTTCTGCCTTCCTCTCCATCACCCCGAACTCTCTCCTTCCTCCTCCTCCTCATCCTCCCAGCCCCAGGAACCCCTGGGAATTGGGGATCACCTTGTCCTGGAGGCGGTAGAGCTCGGCCAGGAGCTGCAGGGAGCTCACGGTCTGCTCCAGGCTGCGCACCTCGGGAATTCCGGCATTTTCCAGCAGCTTCTTCCACAGGGAAAAGGCTTCGTCCAAGGGTTTGGACAGAGCTGGGGGCACACGGGGCTCAGGAAGGATACCCAAAAAAAGCTGTTCCCAAAGTGGGATAATCCTGGGGAAGTCATTCCCACCCTGCCAGGGTCTTGTGCTTCCCAAAAAACCTTGTCAGTGGTGCTGGAAAGGCTCTTCCCGACCTCCCAGGATCCCAAAAAAGCTCTTCCCAATCCACTGGCATCCCAAAAAAATCCCTTCTCAATCCATCAGGATTCCAAAAACCCCTTCCCAACCTTCCAGAATCCTATAAAAGCTCTTCCCAACCTACCATATTCCCAAAAAAACCTCTTCCTAACCTTCCAGGATCCCAAAAAACTTCTTCCGGCCCCTCCAGGGAATTCATGCATCCCACAAAACGCCTTCCCACCCCTCCAGGGTCCTCGTGCATCCCAGAAAACCTCTTCCTTCATCCCAAAATCCCCTTCCCACCCCTCCAGGACCCTCATCCATCCCACAAAACCGCTTCCCTCATCCCAAAATCCCCTTCCCACCCCTCCAGGATCCTCATCCATCCCAGAAAACCTCCTCACTCATCCCACAAATTCCCTCTCCCACCCCTCCAGGACCCTCATCCATCCCACAAAACCTCCTCACTCACCCCAAAATCCCTTCCCACCTCTCCAGGGTCTTCATCCATCCCACAAAACCTTCCCACTCACCCCAGAATCCCTTTCCCACCCCTCCAGGATCCTCATCCATCCCAGAAAACCTCACCACTCACACCAAAATCCCCTTCCCACCCCTCCAGGATCCTCATCCATCCCAGAAAACGTCTTCATCCATCCTGGAAAACCTCCTCACTCACCCCCAAATCCCCTTCCCACCCCTCCAGGATCCTCATCCATCCCAGAAAACCTCACCACTCACACCAAAATCCCCTTCCCACCCCTCCAGGATCCTCATCCATCCCAGAAAACCTCACCATTCACCCCCAAATCCCCTTTCCACCCCTCCAGGATCCTCATCCATCCCACAAAACCTCTTCCCTCATCCCAAAATCCCCTTCCCACCCCTCCAGGATTCTCATCCATCCCACAAAACCTCCTCACTGACCCCAAAATCCCCTTCCCACCCCTCCAGGATTCTCATCCATCCCACAAAACCTCCTCACTGACCCCAAAATCCCCTTCCCACCCCTCCAGGACCCCCACTCATCCCAGAGTGCCGGGCTGACCGCGGCCTCGCTCACCGCTCTCGGAGCCGAGGCTGCAGCGGATCCCGTCCCGCGCCTCCGGCCGCTCTCCCTCGGGATCCTGATCCCAGCCCGGCTCCGGGGCCCGGCCCCGCCCGCGCCGCTCCCGAGCCACGCTCTGGGAAGGGAGGGGGAATTCCAGGAATGCCCAAAATCCCGGGAAAATCGCACCCTGGGAGCTCCAGGAATGCCCAAAATTCCAGGAAAATTGCACCCAGGGAACTCCAGGAATCCTCAAAATTCCAGAATTGCTCCTAGGGAACTCCAGGCATGCCCAAAATTCCAAATCCCGGGAAAATCGCACCCTGGGAACTCTAGGAATGCCCAAAATCCCGGGAAAATCGCACCCTGGGAACTCCAGGTATGCTCAAAATCCCAAAAATCCCGGGAAAATTGCACCCAGGGAACTCCAGGAATGCCCAAAGTCCCGGGAAAATCGCACCCAGGGAACTCCACGAATGCCCAAAATTCCAGGAAAATCACACCCAGGGAACTCCAGGAATGCTCAAAATCCCGGGAAAATTGCACCCAGGGAACTCCAGGAATGCTCAAAATCCCGGGAAAATTGCACCCAGGGAACTCCAGGAATGCCCAAAGTCCCGGGAAAATCGCACCCAGGGAACTCCACGGATGCCCAAAATTCCAGGAAAATCACACCCAGGGAACTCCAGGAATGCTCAAAATCCCGGGAAAATTGCACCCAGGGAACTCCAGGAATGCTCAAAATCCCGGGAAAATTGCACCCAGGGAACTCCAGGAATGCCCAAAGTCCCGGGAAAATCGCACCCAGGGAACTCCACGGATGCCCAAAATTCCAGGAAAATCACACCCAGGGAACTCCAGGAATGCTCAAAATCCCGGGAAAATTGCACCCAGGGAACTCCAGGAATGCTCAAAATCCCGGGAAAATTGCACCCAGGGAACTCCAGGAATGCCCAAAGTCCCGGGAAAATCGCACCCAGGGAACTCCAGGAATCCTCAAAATTCCAGAATTGCACCCACGGAACTCCACGAATGCTCAAA